TATAAATTCATAGTATTTGATATTTTGTTGCAAGTGGAATAGAACTCCTAGAATTGATACATTGTGTTTGAGGTAGTAAAACTAAGGTCCATATCAAATATAAAGATACATTTTATAGAACTTATTATTATTAATATTATTATTATTATTAGTTTTTCAAGACAGGGTTTCTCCCTAGCTTTGGAGCCTGTCCTAGAACTAGCTCTTGTAGACCAGGCTAGCCTTGAGCTCACAGAGATCTGCCTGCCTTTGCCTCCCAAGTGCTGGAATTAAAGGCGTGTGCCCCTACCACCCAGCTTATTTTTGGCATAGTCTATCTGCAAGCTAAAGACCCTAAAGATGAAGAGTCTTTGAAATGTTCATCTGTCTGGCCCAGTGGTTCTCCTGTGAACTGCACCCAGGAGAATGTGGTTGATCCAGACTAGTTTTTACTCTAGTCATTTGCAGATACCCTGAGGGATACAACTGGGTCCTGCCGAGCAGAGCAGTGATCCACACACTGTGCCCATGAGTGACCTGGACGTTGGTCCTCTCCAGTCACAGACTACCAGGAGCACACTGCAGTTAAACAGTCTGGGCTCCGTCCTTTCCAGAGAGAATGTACATAGTGAGCTCCATGGAGCATCGGAGGACGCATGTAGAAAGGACGTTGGTAGGATATAGGTGAGTTCTGAACAAGCAGGGCAGTTAGGATGCGGAGTGATCCTCTTCTTGAGAAGGAAGATTTCTGCCAGGAGCAGAATAGGACTAGGGCGGCCCATGGTAAGATGCAACAGTCACCCATATCAGCCAGGAGAGGGGGCTGTTTGGTATATTGTAGGATGCACAGTGACCTTCTTTTTTATCCAAGCTTAGATAAATTTTTAAGTGTTCTTGTTTTGTCTGGGTATGTGATGGTTATACAGTGACCTCGTCTGATGTTGGTGTTTTATAAGCTTGTTTATGTCCAGTGGGAGAACAACGTGGCCTTGATGTGAGCCCCAGGCCAACCTCTGACAACACAGAAGCCTAACTGCTTGTGTCTAAGCACTGGCAGGTGCCAAGGACTGCATTTTTAATTTCTCTTACCAAACCTTTGTGTACTTTTTCCAAGTATCTTGTTTCATTAGATATAATGAAAAACTAAATATAAGAGAAACTTGTAGGATACTCTAGAAAGGTTTCAAGAAATTCTAAAAGTATCCTTGAATGAGAGGTAGGTAAAACAGTTAAAGTAAGTCACCCTCAAACACTTCACCAGAAGAACCTACATACTGATTGCCTGTCTTGTTCAGATCTCGTTCCACATCAAGTTAACATTACTATAACCTAGAATGACCATACTCACAGACAAAGCCTTGACCACTAACACACTATGAATTACTAGGTTGTCCATGTTTTATAAAATGAGGTATGTATTTGCATGATTCTTCACTTAACAGTTTACTGACATACCAACCGATCTGGATCATATCAGCTACAGGCTTTCACTGTACAAAGGAAGCCATGTGGAGTTAGTAATGTGGGATTCCCCTCTGTTTATTGTAATTACCATTACTCTATAAAGAAAACTGTCTTGGGCCTGCACAGGAAATAGAGGTAGGTGGGGAAAACTAAACTGAATGCTGGGAGAAAGAAGGTGGAGTCAGAGAGAAGCCATGTAGCCCCACTGGAAACAGACACCAGAACTTTATCTGGTAAGCCATAGCCACATGGCGATACACAGATTAATAGAAATGGGTTAAATTAAGATGTAAGAGTTAGCCAATAAGAAGCTAGAGCTAATGGGCCAAGCAGTGATTTAATGAATACAGTTTCTGTGTGACTATTTCGGTTCTTGGCGGCTGGAACGAGCAAGCGGCCTCTCTACAGCATTTAGCGTCAGGACTGCTCAGTGGTCGACGGAACAACACACATTACAAAAGATGGGCTGCAGTGCTTACTAAAGGTCATGTGTTCAGACGTCATTGAGAAAAGTGCTTTTATTATGTGAACTGTGTTGAGAAGACTGCAGAGCCAAAGAACAAACCCTCCCAGTTTTAAGAACAGGCATGTAACAGTTCAATACACAAGCAAAGATTATGTCTATAATTTAAAGGACATCGACAGTTCCCTGGGTTGCCAGGATTTCAGAGGTTTTCTTGGTATTGCTTCCCAGAAGCCAGGTCGGGAAAGTGGTGTGTTGTGCACACCTGCAGTTCCAGCACTGGGGAGGCGGGGGCAGGTCTGTGAGAATTCAGGGCTCTCCCTGGTGAGGAAGGAGTTGGAGGACAGCCTTGGGTACATGGCAGCAGTGACAGCTCCAGTGTCTCGGAGTAGCAATACTTAGAAGAGAGGAGGGAGGCGTGGCTTTCACATTGTTAGTCCCTGGCAGCCCCTGGTCTTCAGCAGATACATAGTAGTACACCCAATGAGAAACACATATTTGCAGTAGTTTAAAAACTTTGCCCCATAGGATCTGGAGAGATGGCTCAGTGTGAGGTGCCTGTCCTCATATTATTAGGGTTGTGGATATTTTGCTGCTGTTCTAAAGGTGTCAGCGGTGAAGTGGAAACAGTGTTTGAAGAGTGTCAGTGTCAGGAAGGCAGCCTCAGTCCCAGGCTTTCAGTCTCTCCCAGTGATTCCAGGTGGCTCTCAGAACTGAGTGGGTGCACAGATGCATTGAGGTAGCCACCTTGTAAAGGCACTTCGGCATTAGTTGTTACTAATTGAACGTCACCTAGGAATTTACACTCTAGATATACTTGCAGAAGTATCTAAACATATATCCTCATTACAAGATTGTCGGTAATACATTTCTCAGTTGGAGATTGTAGTACTGCATAGCTATTAAGAATGAGGTATACAGGGCGGTGGTGGCGCACGCCTTTAATCCCAGCACTCGGGAGGCAGAAGCAGAGACAGGCAGATCTGTGAGTTCGAAGCCAGCTTGGTCTACAAGAGCTAGTTCCGGGACAAGGCCCCAAAGCTACAGAGGAAACTTGTCTCAGAGAAAAAAAAAAAGAATGAGATGGGAGCTGGGTGGTGGCACATGACTTTAGTGCCAGTACTAGGGAAGCAGAGACAGGCAGATCTTTGAATTCGAAGCCAACCTGGTCTACAAAGCAAGTTCCAGGACAGCCAGGACTACACAGAAATCCTGTCTCAAAAAAAAAAAATAAATAATAAATAAATAAATAACAGAGAAACGAGGAGGACTGGTAAGATGGTGCATGCTTCAGAGCCCCATGGTCTGAGTTAGACCCCCCAGTACCCATGGTGAAGGAAGAGCACTATTTCCTACTAGTTTTCACGACTTTGTGTGCGCACACACACACACAATAAGTGAAGTAGCACATTTAAAAAGAAGAATGAGGTAGATAAAGCTGATCAGATGGCTCAGTGGGTGAAAGCACTAGGCGTTGCAAGCCCGATGACCTAAGTGTGACCCCCGGAACCAAAAGGGAAAAAGATGGAAGGAAAAGCGACTCTGCATGGCACAGGCACACACTGTACACACACACACACACGCACACACACCCCATAAGGAGTGGGATAGACAGGAAGAGTGTTTGCTGTGACCCAGCACGTAGAAGCTGAGGCCAACCTGAGCTGTGTGATAAGACCCTGTCTCAAAAGCCAAGAGAGAGGGATTTGTTTGTGGCGGTGGTTGTGATGTGGCTTTCCTTTATTAGACTGTACCGTACACCCAGCACTGTGTCGTGAGCCTACATGCTTCTATTTCATCTTCAGAAAGCTACGTTCTGGGCACTGTTATTTAAGGTTTTAGGGTCAGGGAACAGATTAAACTTACATAAGTTTTCAAAGCTACTAAGGGGCAGACCTGAGGTTGCGATCTAGCACTTTTAATCCTGAAATGCGTGTCCTCCTTCTGGGAATAAAGAAAGAAGATGAAGTTGTTAAATAAAAAGGAATTCAGAGTTGAATGTTAAGCTGAAGTCTGGAATAGCAATAGCAAATGCTCTTTCTCCATCTGCATTCGTACATACAGGGCCCGTGATCCTAATGTGCCAGGTCCATTTCTCTGTCACTCCACCTGTCCTACTTTAAAGGCTTGAGTGTTTTTATTAATTTTTAAAGTACGTGTGTGTGTTTGTGTATATATGTGTGTGTGTGTGTGTGTGTGTGTGTGTGTGTGTGTGTGTGTGTGTATGGGCCCGAGAACAGTCTTAACTGGAATCAGTTCATTCATCTTAACACTTGAGTCCCAGGAATCAAAACCAAGTCAGCAAGCTTGTCAACAAGTAGTTTGCCAAGCGAGACATTGCTGTAGCCCAAATGTTAAAGGTTTTAATCGATAATAATCGCCTCAAGTGTGTTTTGTTGTTCCTTAAATTCTCTGTTGTTTCCCAAATGGTTGAAGACTGCTTACAGTGAGCCATTGTTTGTTTATTATGTGCATTGATATTTTGTCTGCACGTGTCTGTGAGGATGTCGGCTCCCTGGAACTGCAGTTATCGACATTTGTATGCTGCCGTGTGGGTGCTGGGAATTGAACCTGGGTCTTGTGGAAGAGCAGCCAATGCTCTAACCACTGAGCCATCTCTCCGGCCCCACAGGGAAGCTTAGTGAATGCTGCACGTGGTAAGAACTGTGTGTATTTCCCAAGCGCATGCCTCTTGTCCCAGCATCCTCGAGGCAGGCAGTCAGCAGGAGAACTGGGAGTTCTAGGCCAGCTTGTGCTACACTATGAGACTGACTCCAAAAGACACTACCCAGATATGGTGGCACAGGCCTTAGTCACAGCGCTGGGGAAGTAGAAGCAGGCAGATCTCTGAGTTTTAGGACAGCCAGGCCTTCACAGAGAAACCCTGTCTAGAAACCAAACTCCAAAGCACACCACCCGAACAAGAGCTTGTAAATACTGACAGCGCACAAGTAGCCTGCTGCAGTCCTGCAGTCGAGCAGTAAAGCCGAGTTTCTGGAACCAGCAAGGAAGGAAACATCCAGATTTTATAGTTCTTGTGATTTGACAGATTTGACCTTTGTTTGAAGCAACCTGTTTTCTTGCTTTCTCTTAGGCCAGGTAATCAAAGCCTGGGACATTGGCGTGTCTTCCATGAAGAAAGGAGAGGTCTGCCACTTAGTGTGTAAACCAGAATACGCTTACGGCTCTGCAGGCAGCCTCCCGAAAATTCCCCCGAATGCAACTCTCTTTTTCGAGGCAAGTGTATGTGTGTCGTCGCCCGCCTTGCCGGCATGTGCTGTGCTGTCCGCAGACAGCGGGAGAAGAGCCGAGTTTGTGCTGAGAACCCGCTCTGGCTTATTTATTTTCGAGCTTGACTTCTTGAATTGTTTCCCACACACCCAGGGGATGTGCCTGTGCTTTCTTAGAAATGTGTCTCTGGCACTAAGTGGGCATATCCAAACAAACAAAAGACGCAGATTTAGAAATACGAGTTCTGGTCAGCAGGGGAAGTAAGACATACTCAAAACTGACAGGCCGGAAATGGTGGTGATGCGTGTTGAAATGGTAAGTTGTGAAGGCTCACGACTGTCCGCTAATCTTCATCAGGAGCAGTAAGTGCTAGGGTATTATTCAGCCTGTGTTGAATTAGTTACACATAATTGGTAAAACTTGATTGTTATCTAGCAAGGTGAAAGTGCATCTTCAGTCAGCTGAAGGCCAGAGTCTTAAGTTTTCTATTTTAGGATGAAAACTTCATAAATCAGGCATGGAAACTGGTAGCGTCTGAGTCAGACAAAGTTGTTCATCGCCGGCACCTTGTAGCTCTGGCCTTGTGCCCACAGGCCGTTATCCTAGTGTTTCCTGTCTGCCTTTGCTCTGCAGCCTCACAGGATGCAGTCCTAGACATGGTCATTCCACGGAGCTGTTTCCAAGTGGTGCCGAGGGCATTGTTTGCCTTCTCTGTTTTCCTCTCCCTGAGCCATAAAGATAAAGATGGAGTTTAGAGTCTCATAAAATAACTGTTAAGCTGACTCTGACTTTTCTGTTCTAGATTGAACTTCTCGATTTCAAAGGAGAGGACTTATTTGAGGATTCAGGCATCATCCGTAGAATCAAACGGAAAGGAGAAGGCTACTCCAACCCAAACGAAGGGGCAACGGTGGAGGGTGAGTCCAGCTGTTGGGAGCCAGTCCTCCATGGTGCGAGCAAAGTGCAGTCATCTGGAAAGTTTGTGGGCTGGAAACACGGCTCAGCAGTTATGAGAGTTCGCTGCTTTCTTAGAGGTCTGTGTTTGGTTCCCAGACCTGCATCTGCCAGGACTCCAGGTCCAGGGAATCTAGCACCTTCTTCAGCTCTCCAGGGTGTGCACATATTTGATATAAAAAATTGATAAAATAATTAGTGTGTTGAATATATATCTCGAGAGCAGTTTTAGATTCAGCATTCATCTAATAGCTTCATTTGTTAAATACCAATTTAATGTGCGTTCCAGGCATCTGTAAGCATCTATAAACTCAAAAATACTTATACAATAGTCCCGTCTATCAAATAATTCTCAGTCCCTAGATCTCTGGAGGGCATTTTTTTGTCTTTCTCACAGTAACTTAGAAGGTGAGATTTATTATCCCCAAGTGAGGAAAATTACTTCAGTGATGTCATAAATGGCCCAAGATTGCGGAGCTACTGAGCAGAGCGGTGGAGTTGGACAGCTGTGTTCATTCTGTATGGGGTGGCCTGGGATCAAGTGCTGTTTTGCCAGTTGCCAAGCCAGCCTGGAGCTATTTTCATGTCTTCCTCTGAAGACAGGAAACGGAGTCCCTCCCCGAGCACCGCACGCTGGTCGCCCCTGCTTACATCGGTCTTTGCCCACCCGCCTGAACTCAGGCAGGGTTTTGCATCTTTGCTTGTGACTTGCAGCATCTGCAGTGCGTCTGACGCGCACTGGGCAGTCCATAAAAGCCTTCTGCGCTGAGCTGATGTCTTCAAAAGGGAGTCGTGAGAAAGACGCGCTTCCGGAAGAAACCAAGTCACTAAATGGACATTCAGAAAAGGCCCATTCAGAGGAAAAAAAGTCTACCTAAAACAACTAGAATAATTGAGTTTTTAATTTTAGCATGTACATACTGTTTAGACTCATTTCATTACACAAGTCTAACAATTAAATAAGGTTTAGTATTTTTTTTTCTTTTTTTTTTCGTTTTGTTTTTGTTTTTGGATTTTGGTTTTTTGAGGCAGGGTTTTCCTTTGTAAACCTAGCTGTCTTGGCGCTCACTATTTAGATCAGGCTGACCTTGAACTTGATTTCTACTGAACACCCAAATCAAGGTTTAGTCTCACCTGCTCCAAGGCCAAATGCTGGGATTAAAGGCTAATACTCCCATGTCCAGCTTCATAATGTTTTGGTGATAGGTTTTTTTGTTTTGTTTATTGTTATTGCTTTTTTATTTATTTTGGTTTCTCGAGACAAGGTTTCTCTGTGTAAAAGTCCTAGCTGTCTTGGAGCTAGCTCTGTAGACCAGGCTGACCTCGAACTCACAGATATCCGCCTGCCTCTGCCTCCACAGTGCTGGGATGAAAGGCGTGCGCCACCACCACTTGGCTTCATAATGTATTTTTAGCTGGAGGGTTTTCACAACTAAATTAAAAGGAACAGTTTACCCAAATTATAACAGTACAAAACTGCCACTTGTAGAGGTGGCCTTGGAGCAGGTGAGACTAAACCTTGATTTGGGTGTTCAGTAGAAATCATATTTTTTAACTTTGTTTGGAAAAAAATCTAGATTTAGAGGAAATTCACAAGCTGTTTCAGACTGTTCTTCTCCTGGTATTAAGATCATATGCATCCACAGGGCATTTGTCACGAGCAGGAATTTCTCCTCCCACACCCACCACCTCACTAACTCTTTTCTAGTCCTGTAGTCAAACCTCAGATTCAGAATCTAGACTTCATTTAGCTTTTGTGGCCTTATTCTCTTGCAGTAAATTAATCTTCAATCTTCATTTCCTATGGCTGACACTTTTGAAAACAATTTTCCATTTGATAGACTATCTCCCGGTTTAGGTTTGCAGTAGGTAGATTGAGGTTTGGAAAATCCTGTGTGGGTGATACTGTGCCCTTTGAGTTTCATCTTCAAGAGGCGTGTCGCTTCTGGTGATTTCTGGGCTAGGGTAGCGGCCCCCATACTTCTCTTCTGTCCATTTAGCATTTGTAAGGGCTGTTTCCTGTTACATCCTCCGTTTACACCTCACACCCAGTAATGAGTTTCGCATACAGAAGTTATTACCATGGTATTTGATTCATGATAATTTTATTTCCATTTCACATTTATTAGTTGGAATTCTACTGTAAGGAAGATCTATTCCTTCTCCCTGTGTTTATTTGACTCTTCACCCTTGTCAGTATACACCTAGGGCTATTGTTTCCTGCAGTGAGATGTTTTTACTTGGTGTGCAGATTGTCTCGGGTTTGACTATTAGAAATGCCTTCAGGTCAGCTCATCTCAGCATAGTGCTGCATGTAGTCTTAAAAACCACAAGTACATAAAGTCACACAGTTCCATTCAGCACCTCAAGTTTGTTCTCTGTTTGCTCATCTGGAACTTCTTTCTCCAGTAGATTCACGGTGTGTTTACACATGCAGTCCTAGACTACACATCACGTCACTTCAGAACTGTCACATGATAATACCTAAGAGTTCCGCGGTGCAGTGGGGCCGTCGGGCATAGTGTACACATAGGCTTTGGAGGCCGTGGACTGGATACAGTGGGGTAGTCAGATATAGGGTACACATAGGCATGGGGGTACATTCCGTGTTCTTTTCTTATCCTTTGTACTATATTTACAGAATTTGCTTCCTTTAATTGGATTTGTGGAAAGGACCCCTTGACTCCTTTCATTTCCTACACCACATCCTTGGTTACTTTGTCTCTAGGGACAGTGGTGACTTCAGTTTGTGTCCTCTTCCTAGGGGCAGGCCTTGCTTTTGAGGGGCACATGGACTGGATGGAACTCTAGTAAATCGTCACAGTCTGCTGTTTTGTAGGTTTGTGGAGCTTATTTTTTCTCAAGGTCTGCTTTTTATTCTTACCAAAATTCTCATTTTTATAAATCAGTCATAGGTTCTCTTCTTCTGTGCCTTTTCTTACCAAGTAAAATTACTGTCTTGTCATGTTTATCCAGTGTTGTCCTTTCCCACCGCGTTCTGAGTGCTCTGCCTGTCGTGACTGTAATGACTGATGCTCCAGTCAGCACACTTGAGCGTGGTTGCCAGTGTGACCACACTGCCACTCCTGAGCTTAGATGATCCGGTTGTCCTGGAGTGGGGCTCTGAGGAGCTCCCATCCATGCCTCAGCTCCCTCTCTTTGGGGTTTCTGATTGCTAGTGTTGGTGATGGGATCCTTTGCCTATGCTTTCAGCTGCGTTTGACTGTAGATGCAGACAGTGGACAGTGTTTTTAAATGTTCAGTTCAACTGCGATCTTGAGGGTCCTGCTGTGGGGAACTTCCTTTCCCTTCCCTTCTCACCTCCTAACCCAGTAGAATAATAGGTGGAAGAGTGAGGGAGTTATTTTGTTGTTGTTGTTGTTTGCTGTTGTTGTTTTGTTTTGTTTTTCAAGTCAGGTTTTCGCTGTAGCTTTGGAGCCTATCCTAGAACTAGCTCTTGTAGACCAGGCTGGCCTCGAACTCACAGAGATCCCTCTGCCTCTGCCTCCTGAGTGCTGGGATTAAAGGCATGTGCCACCATCGCCCGGCTGAGAGTTACCTTTAAAAAGAGAGAAGCTCCTAGTAGTGCACACCTTTAGACCCAGGTCGGAGGACCTGTGGGTTTAAGGTCAGCCTAGTCTGCTAGTGAGTTTCTGGGTAGCCAGAGCTACAGAGTGAGAACATGTCTCAAAAAATTTAAAACAAGAAAGAAAGTAAAGAGAGAAGAATCAGAAATGCAAGTTTATGAAATAAATACAGTGCCAGGTATAGTGGCGTACATCTTTAGTCCCAGCACTCAGGAGACAGAAGTAGATATCTATGAATTGAGGCCAGCCTGATCTACACAGTGAGTCCCAGGACAATCGGGGCTACACAGTGAAAACATAAAGCAACAACAACAAAATGAAATATATAAAGTAGACGGATTTAGACAGATGGAAACTGAATTCTGCAAATCCAACCCAAAGCAGGTGTTGAGAAGACCTCTGTAGAGGTACATACCGTTCTCAACAAGCTCGGGCAGAACTCCAAGCTCTCCCAATCAGCTGGTTCACGGGAGCCAAAACAGGCTATGGGGCAATCACCATTGCTATAAAGCAGTATGGGGCAGCCGCACCAGCAAGCCTCTACTGTAGTAACTCAGCCTTGGCTCAGCCCATTAAATAAAAATCTCAGAGAGACTGGCAGAGGCAAATATTTTTTTAAGCTCCCAGGTGACTGTAGTTTGCAGCCAAGGACTGAACTAACTGCCCGAGGATCTGTCGCTGTGACTTCTGCTTAGGAGCTATGGCCTGGCTCCAGACTGCAGCAAGGGACTAGCCTCCAGGAGACTCCAGGTGAACGGGAATGTAAGGTGTCCTTGCACTTCTGAAACAGACGTGTTGGGCACGGCAGCGCTCCATGGCAGTGACAGTGCCAGAGGGCTCAGTCTCTTCCCCTGCATCAGCAGGAAGGCAGGGCGTCCCCAGCCTGTGTAGGTAGCTGCCTAATCTATACCTAAGAAATCTTCACCTGTGTCCTTCACGGTCCCCCTTTTGGGAAAAGGCCACCATGTTGCCTGCATTGAATAATAGTGACAGGTAGGTGCAGTTATTTGGTCCTCTGAACCTCCCTGGGTTCTGTGTGCAGCCAGCAGGGATTGGTCAACGGGAATGAAAGTGTCAGGGAAACTGTGAGAAAAGACAAAGGTGGCTAAGATACAGATCACTGTCTTTAGTTTAAGAGCCAGTTCAGAACTCAAAAACAAACAAAAACCACCCGCCCAGGCCTCAGAAATGGGAAGGAGGATGAGAAAGCCTGGGAATTGACCAGAAGGGCAGAAGGGTGAAGTGGACAGTGTCTTTCTCCGCGTCTGCGTTGGTGATGTGGGTAACGGGCAAGAGCATCTCGGGATGCGGGGAAGAAAGAGATGTGAGTGACGGGGCTACAAGAAAGTCATTACCCCACCAGCCACAGGACAGAA